ATGTTAATATGATATTGATAACTTCAATAAACTACTTAATAATTTTTAACTAAGATAATGTTAATATGATAATGTTTATATTTAAATCTAATACTTTATTATTTTAAACTAAGATAATGTTAATATGATAATTATTATATTTAAATCTAATACTTAATTTTTTAAAACTAAGACAATGTTAATATGATGATTGATAACTTCAATAAACTACTTAATTGTTTTTAACTAAGATAATGTTAATATGATAATGTTTATATTTAAATCTAATACTTTATTATTTTAAGCTAAGATAACGATAATATGATAATTATTATATTTAAATCTTATACTTAATTGTTTTTAACACAGATAATGTTAATATGATAATGTTTGTATTTAAATCTTATACTTTATTATTTTAAACCTGTATTATGTTAATATGATAATTATTATAAACAATAAATACTTAATTGTTTTTAATTAAGATAATGTTAATATGATGATTAATATATTCAATTAAATACTTAATATTTTTAAAATAAGATAATGTTAATATGATGATTATTATATTCAATTAAATACTTAATTGTTTTTAATTAAGATAATGTTAATATGATGATTATTATATACAATAAAATACTTCATTTATTTTAACTAAGATAATGTGAATATGATGATTATTATATTCAATTAAATACTTAATTTTTTTAAACTAAGATAATGTTAATATGATGATTATTATATACAATAAAATACTTCATTTTTTTAAACTCAGATAATGTAAATTTGAAAATTGTTCTATTCAATAAAATACTTAATTTTTAACAATAAGATAATGTTAATATGATAATGATTATATTCAATAAAATACGTAATTTTTGTAATCTAAGATATTGTAATTACCATAATTATTATCTTCAATTAAATACTTAATGTTTGTAAACTATGATATCTTAAATATGATGATTATAATCTTATAATAAAAACTAAATGCTTGTAAAATAAGATAATGTTAATATAATAAATATTATCTTAAAATAATATAATTAATGTTTATCAACTAAGAATTTTTAAATATAATA